AAAAAAAATACTTATCATTGAAATAAAATTTTTTCTTTCGTTTAACACGATTGAAATTTATTTCAGGCTGATTTATTCCACGAAGATTTATATCCTGATACTTTGGGAGATGAACCCGCAATCACCGCCGAAGAATGGATAGGAGGTAAGAATTATAATTAATCAATCATGACTTCCTGATTTGTAAACATTTATTATGAGCCAATGAGTAAATTATTTCCTTTTTAGTTATTAATTTGCACAAAAAAGTAAGGTAAAAAAAAAAAAATTAATGAAAAAGATTTAAAAGGAATTTGAAATGGAATTTAACGTCATTCATAATTTACAGGTACCGACGCAGAACCTATTTTAATATCATTGAAAAATTGTTCTGTTGCTCCAAGTAGCAAAAAATCGGAGCTTACCGTGACCAAAAAAACAAACGTATTAGACAAAGTCCCACCAAAAGCTCCAAAATCAAGTCACCAAAGCTCAGGAGTTTCTGTGAGTTTTTTTATCTTTTATTATTATTATTATTATTTATTTATTTGGATAATACTTGATTAAAAATAAATAAATATTGTAAATAATTATCGATCGACAGGACGATGTTATAAAACAATTTCAAGAAGAAATTAGAAAATTAAAAGCGATTATAGTTAAACACGAAAATCGTATCAGAGCTCTCGAAGCTCGACTTCCTGCTCAATCCAACGAAGAGGATGATAATAACGGTTCATCAAACAAAACATCTGGGAAAATGAAAACAAACGACAATGAACAGGAAAGCGAATTGGGACCGGATGAAGTGTAAAATGGGAGAGAAAACAAAAACGAAAAAAATAAACCAAAAAAAAAAAAAAACAAAAAAAAAAAAAAACTAAAAAAAAAAAAAGGAATTTGTCAACAATGACAATGTTCAGTTTAAAAGTTCTTTTTTAAAAAAAAAAAAAAAAAAAAAAAAAAGTACAAAGTTTTCACACACACACACACACCCTCCCTCTAAACATCTTTCAAATTAATTATTATTAATAATTAAAACGCACGAAAAAAAAAAAAAAAAAGGGAGAAGGGAGGGGGAGGGTTTGAAACGAAAAAAACGTGGAAAAAGGGATATTAAAAGAATGTGAGAGGAGGGAAAAAAAAAAAAAGAAAAATGTTTGCTTTGCCGGAAATAATTGTTTTTTTTTTTTTTTTTGCGCAGTATTTCAATTATTATTAATCAGGGTTCAGGATTTTACCATTTATTATTATTATTATTATTATTATTTTTAATTTTTTTATTAATGTAGAGGTAAAAAAAAAAAATAATTATTTTTATCTCTATGTAAGACTGAAACCATTAAAAAAAAAAAAAAAAATTTAAGGAATTTCATTAACTTTATTCATGACCGTTTATAACTAAATATATATTTATTAAAAAAAAAAAAGGCAAAAAAGCTTTTCATTATAATTTTATAAACAATTTAAACAATATAAATAAACAATAAAAGCAACCCTAAATTGTAATTATTATAATAATTGCATTGATCGGTCACTTAATAAACGACATAAGAAAGGGTTTTGCTCAAAATTAATTAATTATTAAAAAAAAAAATGATTTAAAAGTACTGACAGACAGACGGTTAAATATTTATTTTTTTATTTATTTATATTTAAAATTAATTTAGGTTTTGGTTTAAAAGGAAAACTCTTTTTCTTTCTCTTTGGGTTTTTCTTTTTGGGAAAAGCTTTTTTCCTTTTTTTTTTTTTTTCTTAAGCAATCGAAAAAAAAAAATATTTTATAATAAATAATCTGATAATTTTGTATATTGTTAATTATTGACAATTGTTAAAAGAAAATAAAGAGAGAGGGGAAGGGGGAGAGGGAGGGGAGAGAGAGAGAATTAAATTTATTATTACATGAAATAATTTTTTTTTAAATTTAAATTTAATTGATTGACAAAAAAAAAAAAAGTTTGCACAAAAAAATTTTAAGGTATTTGACTAATTTTTTCTTAA